TTATTAATTTATTATTTTTATGAATAATTTAAGGTGGCAAATACATACACTACACATTTTCTTCCCCAGTGTGCAGTTAGTTGGCTGAGAGGAAGTGACTGGCTCAAAGTCACCCAGCTATTATTTCATGGCTGAAGTGTGACTTAAACTCAAGGGCTCTGCTTTATATCCTCTCTCATGACAAAATCTGAGTCTCAACAACTTTCTCGACTTACAACCACAACTGAGCTCAAAAATTATGTTGTTAAGTGTTTTGCCACATTTTACAACCTTTCTTGCTATGGTTGCTAAGTGAATCAACGTTAAGTTAATCACATGGTTATTAAGTGAACCCCATTGACTTTTTTTGTCAAAAGGTCACAAAAGGGGATCATGTGAGCTTGGGACACAGCAACGCTCATAAGTATGAACCAGTTGCCAAGTGTCTGAATTTTGATCACATGAGCATGGGGGTGCTACAAAGGTTAGAAGTGTGAAAAATGCCATTGTAATGTTGAACTGTCACTAAATGAACTGTTGCTCACTTAGTTGGTCACTTGGTTGACTTGAGCAGCTATAGAAATTAATTAATTAATTAATTAATTAATTAATTAATTAATTAATTGAACCCTATTCTGATTATTTCTGATGCTACACTTAAAAAAATATCCCAGAAGTTGCAACTGCTGCAAAATAAATTAAATTAGGCTAATGGAATGGAGACTAATGGAATGTACAGGATACCTGTAGTAAAAGATAAGACATATACTTTCTGGACTCAATTTAAAGTTTTATACTAATGCCTAAAACCCAGACCCGCTTAGAATCTGATTGTCTTAGTGCATCCACAGCGTGCCTGGTCTGATCTGCAGGATCATCAATAGAGGATGCCATGTAAGCAGTGGGGGTTGTGGTACATGGCCCATGGGTGGAGCTGTGAGGGTAGAGCAGACGCTATATAATATGTTTTCTTCCTAATTGTCACTCTGTGCCCGTTATCTCAGTTTCTTGGATAAAGTATTACAGTTAACCATCTTTGGCTCTGTTTAAATTACTTGCTGAATGCTGGAACATGACAGTTACGACTATAATTCTCAAATTTATAATTCATTTAACAAAATTTCAGGCATTGTAATACCAAAACATCCATAGAGCACAAGGTTAAAGAAAGATGACACAAATTGTTTAAAAGTTACAATACAATAGATCAGCAAAGGATAATTTTTCATCCAAAGTCACAGAAACAAATGAAGCAATTCTATGTCCTTTAGTGTGATTTCATTTCCTGTGTTTGTATAGTAAAAGCTAAATGCTTTATTTATGGACAGTTATTTCTACAGTTTGCCACAAAAATTTTGTGAGACCAGAAAGAAAAGAATGGGTGAATATTATGCACGTTCTATGTTTCTAGGATTCTAACAGTTTTGGTTTGGTTTCTGGGAAGCATCCTAAATTAGTATGTAGCAGAAAAAGATATTTTCCAATTTATAAATATAGTACTCGCTTGGGTAGCACATATACTAAATTTACAAATATATATAAAAAACTGGAAGCAAAAAACACTTTATCTAACAATGCAACTATAAGTTTTAAGTATTTTTATTTTTCAGCTATTTCAAATGCTACTTCTTCCATAAAAAAGCAAAATAAGGCAACTATTGTTTCCAAATACAGTGTGAGAAAAAAATAAAACAAACTCTCAGCAATTTCAATAATATTTTTCTTCAAAACAAATTTCAATATGCCATGGTACATAATTAATACTGAATATCTAATGAGGTGAAAATTAAAATCTACCAGTTCTTTTTCAGACAATAAATGTTAATAAATGGCACAAGCTTTCAAGAACCACAATTCATCCCAATTTAAATTTAAATTGGGATGAATTGAAGGGAGGAAAAGGGAGGAGAAAATTGGGTAGTTTTGCAGATGTAGGTATTTATAAGATTATAAATATTGAATCAATTAACAAATGTGATGTGTTAAACCACATTCAATTTGTTGAAACTTTCTAAAAGACTTGAAACTTTTTAATGTAAATGAGCTGAGAATCATTGATATAGTTTTATACAATTTTATGGGTTCTTGCAAGCATCTGGATCCAACTAAAGGTTCAAAGGTTTAGCCATAAATCATCATACAGTTTGGGACCAATATACATTATTTATTTATGTTACTTTCCACTAGGGTCTACGGCATATTGACGATGACCTCTCAGCACTGCCATCTTGCCACAGCCATGTCATCACAGCCACCTTGGCTCAGCCATCTGGGCACAGGACAAATCATCACAGACAACTTGATGCAGGGCAATTCAAATCACTGAGTCAGCTGTCACTATCCCTGCTTGCCCTCTCTCTGCCTGGGAGCCATCAGGGCAGTGTAGTGAAGGAGAAATCTGCAATGCCGAGATTGGAATGGATGCCACCCTATCATGAGTGTCTGCAGGGAAAAATAAATGGCTGAATGTGGCATGGGCATGCACTTCTCTAATGCAGGCAGCAATTTTGACACAGCAGATAGCCATGCAGAACAGATGTGCTCTGACCCAACGAGCAGATGTACCCATGGGAGGTCAGATCCAGAGATGTCGTCTTTTACAACAAGCCAATGGCTGCCTCCAGTGAAAGGAGGTACTGTAGGGGACCCGTAGAATTGTCCCATTGCAAGTTGCACATGGCATTCTGTCCCAAGCTGAGATGACTGCCCCAAATTCTGACTGTGGCATGGCCATGGAAGCTGGTTGTGCTGAGATGGCAGAGCCAAGTTGTCCAATTCCATTTTCAACATGCCACCATTTCTCAAATAATTTAGATACTACCTTTCCTTTTTAAATTATGCTAATTATGACCCATATTATGTAAATTATTGAAGCATTCGCTGGCCATTTTTTGTTGCACATTGGTACCAAATGATTTCAGAGCATAGCATAAACCACCTGAGTAAGCAAGCTAAGTGAGGTTTTTTTTAGCATTTTTAAATGTGTTAAGTGTATCTACATGTTTATGTATTATTTTGCATTGTTTCCCACCAAAGGTTAAAAAGTAATCATACCACTATTGCAGAAAAACAGTTTTGAGGAAGTGTATAAAACAAACTATCAATTACTCCACTGTACTCTCCTCGATTTGTTTCTGGTAGTTTTTAATGAAATTATTTTTAATATCATGTAAAAGCAGCACTAATTTAACAAAAATTATCACATTGCAAAAATATGACAATTTTAAAAAACCAAATAAATTAAATAATAATGGGATATCATAGAATGGGATATTTGAGGGATCTTTTCTCCATTAAATCTCCCTATTCTATGTGCTCCAGTGGGAAATGCATTTTGTGGGAGTTTAATCTGGTAGGACCCAGAAGGAAAACCATTTGTGCTATGCCCCCCTCCCATTCTGTGAAACATCATTCCCTCCCCAAAGTGAGGCTGGCCCCAACCCTATCAGACTTCCAGAAAGCCCTAAAACTATGAGAAAATGGAGGCTCCTAGATGACTATATGGCAACTAAATGCAATTTTGCACATTTTGACACCATTCTCTGATTATTTTCTTTAATCTTGCTTTTATTTTATTTTTTAATTTCAATTGGATGTCTTAATGACTTAATGTATTTTAATTGTTTATTGTATATACTTCCCAGAATCACTATGTGAGCTGGGCAGTTATACAAATGTGATTAAATAAATATATGAATAATATAAACAAGCAGCATTACTGGGGGGAAAGGGAGAGGAAAAAAACAAGTGAAAAAAACACACTAAAAGTTGATAAGAGAAATCATGGGCTTGTGGAATACTATAAACACAAAGACATTTTGCTTTGCAGATAGAAATAGGGCTCCACAGATGTCCCTTTCTAGAGATCAAGACAACACAATGTACTCCCAAATATGATTAACTCATATTTAAAAAAAACTTGCAGTCCTTTGCCAGTTTTAAATATTTAAAAATAGATTCTCCTTGCCATCACTATCACAACATTTGCAGAAAATATTTATTCCAGTGTTGCCCAGTAATGCAAGTATGCTGCTCATATTAAATTAATCCTAAAAATACTCTAATAAACATTATTTTGAATTACCATCAGCCCCTACCAACCTAGGCAATAATAAGAAAGGATTGGGATATAAAATCCTTCAAAACCTAGTATATTAAATGTATTAATAAGAAGGACAGGATTCAAGCATGATAGGAAAAATGATCTCAACTGAGAGAAGAAGATAGACTGCTTCAATTTAAATGCCTGGGGTTCAAAGTTAAGTAACAATATTTTGCAGGAACTGTCAGTATGCAAGAATACAGAGTCCATCACATTTTTCAAGAATGTAAAACTTCTTAAAATACCTAACATCTTGGTTGGATTTCCTAAACCAAAAAAATAAACCCACCTTAGATTGGTAATCAATAGTTAGTGTAATTACCACACATCTTTAGTTTAAATGTTAAGCAGAATCCTTTTGAGTGTCATGTGAGTTACAAGTAATTTGATTCAGGCTTTTTTAACTTGGACTATGTCCCTGAAACTATAATTCTTAAATTCCTAGCCAGTACAATCATGCCGACATATCAAATAGATAGCTGGAACACTTCAGAAGCTATTTCTATAAACAGCTCAAGAAAACTCTTCCTCAAGAGAATTCTTCCTCATCCTAGCACCTAACACATCTGGAAGGTGCCAAGTTGGAAAGTTTGGTTGATAGTTCACTTTCATTGTGTAGGGGAAGAAACTGAAAAAAATTTCAGATGCAAAAAGTAAACTATGAGTATCATTTAAAGATATGAAATGCCATCAATTATCATCAATTCTCTCTCTCTCCCTCCCTCCCTCCCTCCCTCCCTCCCTTTCTCTTGTGCATGTAAGTATGTATGTAGATTGAGTTATTTAAATAGCCCTTACTTTTCAATAAGTATTCATGGAATTACATTTAAATTTAAATTTCATTGACTCTACCATGAATCATTCCTGGAATGTGCCCAATTACTTTACTATTTGAGAAAAAAAGGGGAAAATGTCCTACCTGATCTGTATTCCCTGGTTCTCTTTCGTTTGCCTGTGAAACCTGAGAATTTTCTTTTGCAAATTTCTGGACAAGTTCGATGTGCCCAATATCTTCTCGTTCTTGAAGCTTGCACATAACTCCCGCCTTCAATGTTGGTGGAAAAGGAAAAAGATATTTAAATCCACAGTCCCAGGACATGACAGTCACAAACTTTGAATTTTACCAAAAACTCATCTTGTCCATTTCACCCTCTGAATTGTCCCAATTTTATGCTGAGCAAACCGTTGTTTCTTGCTTAAAAAAACAAAAGAGGCACCAAACGAACACAATCTCTTCTTTCTATGCGATGCTATCTGCTTAACATAGCAGAGGCAATGCTGAACTAAGTAAGCTGCTATTATGGATGCAGCTGATATGCAGGCAGTGCGTTTGTTCCCGTCAACTTGTTTCCTGTTACATAAGAGAACCACAGTAAAAGTTACAAATTCATTGGAAAGTTAGCCAAGAACAGCCCTGGAAAAGGATGGAGAGCAAGAGAGTCATTCCTAAAAATAACAGCCTAAGCTTCTATTTCACACACTCCACCCTTCTTTGTATGTATAGCATATAACTATTAAAGTATGTTAGATTGTATGTATATGTGTATGATTTTTGTTGTTTCAGACATGACTGTCTATAAAAATAAATGTTTTGAATGGAGATATTATCAAGTATCTGTGAAAGATAACTAGCAGCATTTTGATGTACAGATGTCTCTCTGTGCATATAGACACAATTTAAGCATCTAAAAGACACCAAATGTCTTTTCATATTGATAGCATAGTGATAAAGAAATTGTGCTTATTATCAAGAAGCCCCAAATTCAAGTTACTTCCTAGATTGCAGAATTCATTGGGTAATTCTGATCAATTATTCTTTCTGAGTCAATCTCATCAGAGGCAATGAACAGAAAACCTCACCTTAAACTTATAAAAAGTTAGAATATAAATGCAACAATAAACAATAAAAATGGTCCAGAAATCAGATATAAGAAAGTAGTAAAACATGGGGAATAATGATACTTAATTAAATATCATTGATACTTAAGTATCATTGATATTTAAGTAATTAAGTATCATTGATATTTAATTAAGGAATGCATTTTGTTTCTGTCATGATCCTGTTTAGTCTTTGAAATACTAAAGAGTCTGGAAAACCAACTCAGAAATAAAGTCTACCCTAAAGTGGGTGTGCCACATTTTTTTGGAATCAAATGCCACATGTGGCTTTAGTAGTAAATCCTAAGATGTCAGGAGGTTTATGTTAAGTAGGATGAGGGAAGAAATCAAAACAATGCAGATCAAGCATATTACAATTTGATGCCCAGCTTGCAATTATGACATCACAGTATCTTGGAGTCGTGTGATTGCCACTTGAAACATTTTCTGCCAACTTCCTGTTAATGGGGAAACCAACAGGAGGTCTCAAGCATGTACATGTACATAACTACATTACTTTGGTAACTGGCAATGATTCACTTAATGACAGCAACCAGAAGTGCAGTGATTTCTGTCACTATGCACTCCAGTCACATCATGTTTTATTACCACATCATGTAGCAACAAAACTCGTCCAAATTACCATTGATAAATGAATATTTTAAACAAGTTTTCCGCAGGTTCTTTAATTCCCTACAAGATTATATTTATCTATAATTTATTTGTCCTGCTTTTAATCACCAATTATATCATGAATAGATTCTGAGACTGAAGGAGAGTGTCTGGCCCAAAGTCACCTAAATGTATGATCATTAATGTACACTTTAATTATATTCAACCAACTGGATGCCCTAACAATTTGTGAGGAACACTTGAAACAGTATACGTTNTCTCTCTCTCTCTCTCTCTCTCTCTCTCTCTCTCTCTCTCTTAATTTTCTTGTTCCACCTTTATTATTCTTATAACTAACACCAACGTATCTAATACTTGAATCTCTTTCTATTTCCCCCCATAACAACAAAACCTGTGAAGCGATTGGGCTGAAAGAGTGTCACCAAGCTGGTTTCATGTCTAAAACTAGACGAGAGCTCATAGTCTCCTGGTTTGTAGCCTAGCGCTTTAACCATTAGACCAAACTTGCTTGAAAAGAAAAAAAAACTACTAATAGTGATATTACTATAGCGATACTAAATACACAGAAAAATGTTATCTTAATAATAAAATGGCACAGAGAATTATGTTTTTAAAAGCAAAAATATCACTAATAAATCAATAAGCCAAAAGTGATACAAAGATAAATAACCTGAATCTCTTAGAGAAAACTCAGAAAAAATTATTTTGACCCCTTTCAGGTCAATGTAACTACAAAAGTCTGTCTGTCCTCAGAACTATTCTTGCTTTATCCTCAGACCTTCAAAACTCCTGCTGACAACCATAAAAATCACAAAACACTAATTTCAGCTTTCTCTTAACCTTGAGATTTGCATTCCATTTAGGAACATGCAGAGGCTCATTTGTCAGTTTGTAACTATGGTATGTATATATATATAAAGAATCCTACATAATAGTAAACCATGTAGTTATTTCTCTGTGTTTTAACAAATGAATCAGAATTGGCTAGCTTTGTGAATCAGGCTATACTGTTAACTACAATGGTTTAGCATAAGATACAAATGAACATCATTATTATGAATGTTGTCTATGGATTCAACTACCTCTGTATTGTTCTGTTAGGTAAAACACTCCTAAATATAACGAAAAATTTAGAGAAGCAAGAAAATTGTTAGGATTCTGACTCACACTTGGCAAACCAATAAAACCTACTGCCTTATTGAACAGCATAATTATATATATACAATTGCTAAAGTATTACTTTGTAAACAATAATTTTTTTACAGGAAAAATACATTCATTAGTGCTACCAAATGGCCAAATATGCAAATTAATACATGGTCTTGTGCTGGCCTTATCCGTTTCATTTCAGTTTAACACCCCCAATAATTTCTATAAATAAAAAATGGGGTATTAGCTAATATGCATGTTACCAATTTTGCTAAATGTTCAAAGTAGTTTTCAGACCAATTAAATGTCTGGATTCACTGAAATTGAAATACTTTTGTTTTCTGTAATTTACCCATATAATCTTATTACCATGCTGCTTATTAGACCAGATGAATACTTAATGAATTCCTTTGTTTTTAACTCTCAAACAACAAAACCTTGAAATGTCATTTATATAAACTCAACATGGACAACAAAAAGAATCTAATAGTATGGACATGATATACAACCAAATGATAAATTCGTCAACTGCTCTGTAGCAAATATTTTAAATATGAAGTACTCATTATATAGTGAAATGAATAGCATGCTATCATTATTTATAGTTTTCCTATTCCAATTTTGCCCTTCCTGGATAAATTGGTGAAAGCTCTGGACTAACTCAATTATATCACCAGATATAAGGACTTGGGCAGTTAAACAGAATCTTCCAAAAGATCCTGTCTATTTTCTAATATGGACCAAACAGAAGAAATGGATTAAAATTAGAAACATTGAATATATACATATATTCAATTTATATGGCCTCTTAATTGACCTGAAATTTGGGGTGTGTATGTATTAAACCAAATAATTTAAAAACCTATTAAAATATACCAAAGAGTTAAGCTACCCTCTACCAGTAGTGAGAACTTCACTGGTAGTATTTACCTAAAGCAGAAACAGTCAACACAGTCTGTTATGATAGGTCAGGCTTGATCTTATAAATTTTTACTGCAATTACAGTCATCAGCCTCCTTCAAACAACTTGAGCCAACTCCCATAATACTTAGTTAATGTGGCCTAATCCACCCCATCTGTTCATCTCAATTCAACATTAAGTTGAAGGCAGCTATCATACATTAAATAATGAAGGAGGCAAATTTGTTTCCGTTTTATTGAATTTTAAACAGTCAACAGGGGAAATCATCCATATCCTCAAGGGCTAGGTTGCCAAGTCCTTTAATTCAAAAGCACATCTTAATTAGTAGTGGAGTCAGCCGGCTACATGAAAATAAATGCAATAAGGTTTGAAGAAGAAATTTTTAAAAAATACTGCTGGAACTGACAATTGACAAAGTATTACATCATTTGTTTCTTTCCAATTTTTCCCAATTTTTCTTCCCAATTTTTCTTATTAAGCATTAAGAATACATTCCAGAAAAATAGCTGTGATATAATTTCTTGCAGGAATGGATAGGTATCTATCATCTTGCAACAGAAATGCACTGTCCACTTGATAGGGATATGTTTTTTTCACTTTCTACCCAACATCAGATTATATCTCAATACTAACTATAGCAAAGTTTATTCCTTGAGCACACGTTTCCAGACAGGTCCAAATTTTACATTCCTTTTCAGGAATTAAACTATAAACCGTTATATTTTTATATGGTGTTAAGAAGATTTAATCTTTGCTTTTCCTACAACACCTGCAAATTATATTGCCCAAAAATAATGTATTTAATTGAGTCATATTCATTTTAATAAAACAAATCGGAATATGACAATATTACAAATTGATCTAAAAGAATAAATATAGAATGTAAACCACACACCTGATTTTCAGGTTAGACCCTTAAATAGCAGAAAGTCCCAAACAAAATCATGTAGTTTTGTATATTATATATTGCAGTGACAGCGAACCTTTTTCTTACAGCATGCCAAAATTGCATGGGTGCGCTTGCCCACACCAAGTCAATCAGGGAACAAACTTCCGGAGGACAAAAAGTCAGCTGGCCGGCATGGCCATGTGTGCCAGAGCTGATGACTGGCGTGCCAGCAAATATGGCTCCGCGTGCCACCTGTGGCACCCATTCCATAGGTTTGCTATCACGGGTATATTGCATAGCTGGATTGTGGGGTAGTATATAAGGTTAGCAATGACATTTGTAAAAAGAGGATCCCCAATCTCTTTCATGCATGAGTAATTATTTTCTACCTGTGCATCACAGATATCCTTTGGGGGTTTTTGCACTGTTGCCTCTCCACTGCAGAGGTCATAACTTTGATTCATTGCTAAAAAATAAAATAAAATGAAAGATACACATAAAAGCTTCTAACAAGAACTATGAAAATTAACATTATATCCATAGACTTGCCAGCAATTTTAAAAGCACCGTATTACCACATTCAATATGATTCACCATCTTCAAGAAATATTTTGATTACAATTATAGCAAATAGTCATATTTTAGTACTGTATATAGTCATAGAATTGACAAACATACAAGCAATATTTAATATATATTTATTATCTATATATATTTATTATATATATTTATTAGTACTTTCCTCCTACAGAGACCAATGGTATACTGTAGATACATATTTAGCTACTAAAATTAGTTAATTTTCTTTTTAGTAAAATGATAAAGATAAAGATTCCCCTCACACATATGTCCTAGTCGTTCCCGACTCTAGGGGACGGTGCTCATATCCATTTCAAAGCCGAAGAGCCAGCACTGCCCGAAGATGTCTCTGTGCCCATGTGGCCGGCATGACTAAACACCAATGGAGCATGGAACGCTGTTACCTTCCCACCATGATGGTCCCTATTTTTCTACTTGCATTTTTACACACTTTCAAACTGCTAAGTTGGCAGAAGCTGGGACAAGTAATGGGAGCTTCCTCCATTACATGGTGCTAGAGATTTGAACTGCTGAACTGCCGACCTTCTGATCAACAAGTTCAGTGTCTTAGCCAAAGAGCCATCACATCCCTTAGTAAAATAACAAAATATAAAAACATCCATCAGTAAAAAAAAATTAAAGGAAAAACAAAATTAAAACAGTGAGTTACCACTACAAGATTTATTAGTGGGCAGTACTAACCATCAGGAAAATATCTGGGACAATATCAGTGGTGAAATTCATTTTTTTTTACTACTGGTTCTGTGGACATGGCTTGGTGGGCGTGGCAAGGGAAGGATACTGCAAAATCTCCATTTCCACCCCACTCTAGAGAAAGGATACTGCAAAATCCCCATTCCCATTGTAGGGACAGCCAAAGGTGGTATTTGTTGGTTTTCTGAACTACTCAAAATTTCCACTACTGGTTCTCCAGAACCTGTCAGGATCTCTTGAATTTCACCCCTGGACAAAATCTATTATCAGTCATCAGTAAAGCCTCCCCATGCTATAAGCATGCATTATTTTAAATTTCCCCTCTTTTTACCTTTACAAGAACTCCTTCAGGAAGCCTTGTCTGCATCTCATTTCCTAGACATTTCAATCCAGAAGAACCCAAGAAGATTTTTTTGTGCCTTGGTGTTCAACCTTTGGAGTATCATCTTCCCTGATATTAGACTTGTTGACCTTTTGCAAAGCATTAAAAATCTGGTTTTGCCATATAGTTTGGCACTTTACCTGTACAAATGAACCCATCTTATGACTGATTTGAATGGGCTAAATGTTCTCATCAGGTATTCAATGCTATTGACACTGTGTGGATTTTTTAAATGGTTGTTTTATTTTGTTTCTATTAATAATTGTTAGCCACCAAGAATCAAACATAATATTTATTACAGTTTTTTTAATGACAGCCAAATATAGGTAGTCCTTAACTTATGACTACAATTGAGCCCAACATTTATGTTGCCAAGTGAGAAATTTGTTAAGTGAGTTTTGTCCCATTTTACAACTTTTCTTGCCACATGTGTTAAGTGAATCACTGCAGTTGTTAAATTAGTAACACGTCTGTTCAGCGAATCTGGTTCCCCATTAACTGCTTGTCAGGTTGCAAAAGGTGATTGCCTGACTTCAGGATACTGCAACCGTCATAAATGTTAGTCAGCTGACAAGCACCAAATGTGAATTATATAACCACAAGAATGCTGCAATGGTTGTTAGTGTGAAAACTGTTCATAAGACCTTTTTTCAGTAATGTTGTAACTTTCAATAGTCACTAAGCACACTTTGTAAGTCGAAGACTACCTGTATTATCCAATGAGCTTCACAGCTTCCTCCCATTCTACAGTAAAAGATGAATTTCCTGGGTCCTAATCTAACATTCTAATCATTAAAGAGATTGCTGACTATATAAAGACACATACTTTTTGTAGTTAGTCAGCAATATAAAGTGCTAACCATAGCAGAACACTAGTATACTGATATGGTTCACACATTAAATTAAGCTACAAATATTCTTTACAATGACTGCAGCACCCAATGTTCTATATTAAAGTACTTAATACGTAAGTACTTAATACGTAAACATTTTAAAATTCTAGATAATTTCTCTGATGACCTATACCAACGATAGATTTTATTTAAAAAATAATGTAAATTCAAATCCCTCAACCACATATTTTCCCATTGTTATATTTGTATATTTTAACCAAAACTTTTATTATACACTTTCACTTCTTGTTCTTCTGTTCTAAATTTTAGTACAAGTTTACATATTTTATTAACTACATATTTATTATTTGTACATCACTCTATTTCAAACTCAGCCTTACAATGTTAAAAACTACAAATTCTTTTTACTTTCTTTACTTTTTACTTCAATTAGAAAATTTTTGAAATTAATATACAATTGAAACTGGAAATCTTGGGGGGAGAATAGACAAAAAAGTCATGGACTTTTGTTTTTATATATGCTTTTATACAATTTTTAGAACTACACTGAGATTATTATTATACAATTGTATCACAGCGGCCAGTTGTTTCACCGGATTTGGCATTGGCTACTAGTCGGGCCCCACCCAGGGGCCTAGGACGTTGTAACGTATTTTCGTAATATGCGTGCAGATCCAAGCAGTGCGGCTTTTTGCATTTGACTGATGGTGATTTTGTCAATTTTTAACTGTTTTAAATGTAATTCCAGTGCTTTTGGAATACCACACAGTGTGACAATTACCACTGGAATTATCACTGCTGGTTTGTGCCATAGTCGTTGAATTTCAATTTTTAAGTCCTGGTATTTTGCAATTTTTTCGTGTTCCTTCTCGGTGACCCTGCTATCACCTGGTATTGCGATGTATATGATTGTGACCTTATTTTTCTCAACCAATGTGATGTCTGGTGTATTATGCGCCAGTATTTTGTCCGTTTGTATGTGAAAATCCCACAAGATCTTGACCATCTGATTTTCAGTGACTTTTTCAGGCTTATGTTCCATTATTATTATTGTTGTTGTTGTTGTTGTTATTGTTATATGTGGTTACTTTTTGGTGAGATTCACAGCCTTTGGGGCTGGTAGCTCAACAGCTTGAGTCCTAACCAAGGACCTAGGAACTGTTGTTGTTGTTGTTGTTATTTGCAAAATATGCAAAAATGTTACTACACACAATGAATAAATAATTGTTAAAGATAATTAAATTTACTGAGATAACCAACTTGACTACTTTAATCAGAGAAAAGGTAATAGTTTATTGCTGACTTAAAAACTTTTACTGGTTTTTTGAAAGAAATAGACACAATTAAATGTATGATTTATAGTTTTGATTATTGGAAATAATCTAGAAAACAGAGTTTGTCTTTCTTCTATTTTGCAACTATAGAGCATATATAAATTTATAATTGCAATAACTGCTCTAAGGAAAATAGAAAGTGGCTACTTCGCATCTTTTTTTCTTCTTTGCTTTCAAACTTTCAGTTCCTTCTTCGATTTTGTTTTCCTTTTCTTTTTCTTATTCTAAATTAGTTAAATTTTCTTAAATTAATTAATATGAGTGCCTATATTTCTCTGTGAGTCTCTGTGTGTATGTGTGTCTGTCTGTCTGTCTGTGTCTGTGTCCCTGTGTACATGGTGCATATGTGCATATGTGGGTGTATAAAAGGAAAGTGGTAACAGTGCAGATCATCAAAATCAGTTAGTTCTAAATATTATTTTCTAAGATTCTGAATATATATAGGCAAAAAAAGCAGTCACGTAGCTTGAATTCTAAATTAGTCCTGTTTCCTTTTCTGCATATACAAGGATAAATGAGCCCACATATAAATATTCGTGGGAAATGACTGAATATATATAGATACCTATCTCCATTGTAAAACTCCTTTTTCAGGACTGTTGTAATGGTTGCTAGAATGTTCAATAAGTGAGCACTGTCTGTACTCCAATCATGTCTCATTTGTATCCTAAGTTGTCATAAAATAAGTGAATTTTGGCAGTTTGATTCTTTTGAATTCTTTAATTTCAAAATTGAGAATGTGCTCCTATCTTTAAATCACATTCCAAATGACTCACATATAGTATTTCAGACTAATTTTGGCCCAAGTTTGATTAATGCAGGTATGAATAAATTTGGGGAGCCTCTGAGCAGCCAAATCTTCTCTTATGTAGGCCATAAAATGCCTTTCAAATTGTTTCAAAATCTTGATTTTCACAAACGTTGAAAATTTGAATATTCTGGAAAACTTTGCCTGTAGCAATGCTTGAAAATCTTTGGGTTGTATTAAGATTTCCAATAGAAATGACTATTATGGCATCTGAAAGAATCTGCTCGTTCCCTTGTTGAAAGCAAAAGAATGCATTTTTATAATTGGAATACAAAAACTATAGCCTTACATCAGTTCAATAATTCCAAAGAACAAAGAATCCAGCCAGTCACACTTTGTTTATACCTACATAATTTTTTGTTTTATTCATGCAATAAGGCTCAGCTCCATGAATAAATGAAGGGTAGAATGTTAAACAACATCAGTTGCTGAAGTATAATTTCAAATGAATTCATATTCCCATAAGCCTAAGGAATTGAGGATGCTGATTTTTTAATAGCCACTTAAGCAATTGGGATGCTATGCCTTGTTTTTATTTCATTATTCCCTTGTGGGTAGCAAGAAGTATTTTCCTTCAAGATTTTTAACATAAAACAAGTAATGGAGTAAAGGTTTGCTCAAAAAGACTCTGGGTATACATTATTAATTGCTATTCTTCCTAAGCAAGGTTTGTTTAATTTCTTCAATAAGAATAGTCTTATCTGTTCTTAATGGAAGATTCACTTAAGATGCTTGATAATCATGTATTATTTCACTTAAAATGAAAATTAAAGGTAAAGGTTCCCCTCACACGTATGTTTATTCCCGACTCTAGGGGTGGTGCTCATTTCCGTTTCAAAGCCAAAGACTCAGTGCTGTCTGAAGACATCTCCATGGTCATGTGGCCAGCATGACTAAATGCCGAAGGTGCACAGAACGCTGTTACCTTTCCACCAAAGTTGTTCCAATTTTTCTACTTGCATTTTTACATGCTTTCGAACTGCTAGATTGGCAGAAGCTGGGACAAGTCATCGGAGCTCACTCCATTATGCAGCACTAGGGATTTGAACTGTCGAACTGATGACTTTCTGATTGACGAGCTAAGCATCTTAGCCACTGAGCCACAGCATCCCAGAAAATGAAGATTTCTTCCTAATAATTCCATTATTGACTTTTATTGGTTTATCAGAAAAAATCCTATGCCAAATTGAAATCTATGTAAAACTGAATTGAAATTAAACTTACTTCCACAAGATGGGTTACAATGGATTTAAAAAAGAAACCCTCAAGTATATACCCTTGTCTATTATCAGAATTATCTGCAATATGTTTGAAGAAAAACTTCAATTATGAAGGGTATCTTTCATAAATTTATGTGCAGATTCTAGTCCCAAAGATGCTTTTTAAAACCTAGATTTTGTTTAAATGTTAGGATTAAAAACTCTGAATAGAAATTATGGATGCTACCTCTAACCAGTTATGAAAGCAAAGAGGAACTTTTAACAAAGAGAGTAATCTGGAATTGAATGCATGAAAAATGTATACCCAAGAACAATGTTATGATACATGAGTGACGGTTATCATAAAAGGAATATTTTAGTGTATTGGGTACTTTCACTCAAGAACAGAATATGTTTCTCTAAATATCTGCTTATCTCAGTATTAAAATTTAATCTATAGTCTTTGCTTCTCCTACAACGGCCTTCCCTATCATCATTATGCAGATAACCTGGACCAGGAGGGCACCAGATTGGGAAACACAATTCTAGTATATTGAAATGAATAGAAATGAATGTTTAATTTTATAATTTAAGCTTAACGATAGACTTCAGAGATCAAATTTTAAACACAAACGAATTACTTCTGCCCTATATGTTCTGTAGCCAAATAAAAAGTGACAATATAACCATGGAAAGTGCCAACTTCCTTTCTTTAGGTTTTACAAAGTGAACATTTAATATCAATGCTAACTACTTTGTAAAGTTCATAATAAAATGCAAGGCAAATCAATTGTTGGAAACGTTAATTGGAGAAAGTTTCCCTTCACTGACTCACACAGGAAAAGAACTCAAAAGTTTTCACAGCTAGCATGAAGAGTAACTTATCCAGAAAGCACCAGTTTGTGTAAACTGAACTTTCCAATTATTCTATAGCTCAAATTATATGTAATCCTAAATAAAAACATGGGAAAGTATCTCATTTCCCACCAGCCATATCAACTGTTTATTTTATACATTACGCTCAATATTAAAGCATAAAACAAATATTAACAGTGCTGACAAACTGTATTTATCACACTGCTTCCAAAACACTATTAACAATCCAAACAGAAAATAGTTTTGCTTTGAAAATAGTACACAATTAACTAGAGTAGCAGTAGATAGATAAATTAGAAGAGGAAAAGAAGATTGCTGGATTAGCACCATTCATTAGTTGAATGGTCATTTCTCATGTCAAATTTTCATATTTTTAACATTAATAAATGTGTACAAAAATATAGTCCTCAACTTACGAATCGCCATTAGTCCAGCAACCATTCAATATTATAATGGCACTGAAAGAAGGGACTTACAACCTGCACAGGAAGTTACACCTGCTGCAATGCCACCACGGTCACGTGAACAAAATTCAGGTGCTTGACAACCTGACTGCCCTCATGACTAAAGGTATCACCTTCTCACTTCCCCCCCCCCCCATCCCACCCTGCTAACCTTAAGCCTGCTTCCTGCCCTGCTGGTCCCACACCTTCTCCTCATTACTGCTTTCTTTATTTACTTTTTTCAAAAATCAGTTTGGGAAGGAGAATTGGTCAACCTGCTTTGTAGCTTCCAAAATAAAATAACTAGCCAAAAAAAGGCTTTGAAATTCAAATGTTTAAAATAGTGATGTGGCTTGTTTGATACTCTGTTATAAAGAATGTACATTAAGATAATTTTCTTAACTCAGATTCCTTGATCACAAGAGAATGAAGCCATGCCTACAGAGTATCATTATAATGCTTTGCTTATTTAGAAAGAACGCATTCCAGCTAACATGGATAATTAACATTTTTTTATTTCCTTTTATCAGGAACATATAAATATATAATATTTATATTATAAAAATATTATAAACAAATATTTTACTGCACTGGCATTTGCATTCTTTGTTCTCCCATGGGTTTTTGGGATAATATTTTCTTAATAAATTCTCTGAAACACATTGAATTCTTACTGAAGCTTTCCCTATCCTGTCATCTTCCAGATATGTTGGGATAAAACTCAAACTAGGCAGCTCAACTGAAAGGGATTTTAGAAATTACTATCACAGAATATTTCACAGTATTAGCTTTGGAAGTCCTTGACAGCTGGCTGGGGAATTCTGGGTTTTGGAGTCCTCCAGACCTAAAGTTGCCAAGGTTGGAGACGCCTGGTCTATGTTACAGGAACTGAGAGGGAATTTTCTTTTGTGCTTTCAAAGGATACAAAAATTTGCTTCTAAATGCAACTGATACAGATAACCCACAGGAACAGGGATAGAACAAGCTGATCTCATTCTTTTTAGCTTTCACATTATTGTGAAATGGGCATTTCTTTTGTGTATCCATTTCAAATTTTTAACAGCTTTTCCTTTGAAAACACGCTCTATTTGAATGACTTTACATGAGATTAAAAGAGATCCTGTTCTTTATAGACAAGCAAGGTTTCCCCAATAACTAATATCCCAGAGTTCCTACTTTGGCTAATTTCTACAAAACCAGATAAATATTGACAATTTTTGAAAAATATGCTTTGGATCCTAGATAAACACTGAAGATAAACATCACCTTCAAAATTGAAATATATATTTCAAACTAAGACAATGTACTACCGTGTTTCCCCGAAAACAAGACATGCCCTGCTAATAAGCCCAATCGGGCTTTTCAGAGCATGCACCGTAATAAGCCCTCCCCTGAAAATAAACCTGCCCCAACTATTTAAGTGCATGCACAACCGGTCCCCGCCATTACCACTGTACCATCTACCGGTACAGCTTGCAGGGCAAAAAAAGGGCTCACTGCAAAAACAGCGGCAGGCGAATCAAAGTGCTTCCATCGTCGCCCTTCCTGCCTGCTCAAAAAGAGCCTGCTGCAAAAACAGTGGCAGGCCAGCAATGCGATCACCCCCTCCCGCCTGTTCCTTCTCGCCAGTGGTGGGTTTCAAAAATTTTAAAACCTCTTCTGTAGGTGTGGCCTGCTTTGTGGGAGTGGCTTGCTGGCCATGTGACTGGGTGGGAGTGGCTTGCCAGCTATGTAACCAAGTGGGAGTGGTTTGGCAGTCATGTGACTTGGTGGGCATGGCCAACTTGTAAAATGTGATGAAACTCACTTAACAATGCTCTTGCTTAGCAATCAAAATGTTGGCTCATTTGAAGCACGCAAGTCTTAAAGCTGTCAAGTTACAAAAAAAATCCCAGGGGTGTTCAAACTTGACAGCTTTAAGACTTGTGGACTTCAACTCCCAGAATTCCTCCTCCAGTAATGTTGGCTCAGGAACTCTGGCATTGAAGCATGCAAGTCTTAAAGCTATCAAGTTACAAGATCCTTGCACCCCTAACCCTTTAGGGAAAAAACCCCAGGGGTGTTCAAACTTGACAGCTTTAAAACTTGTGGACTTCAACTCCCAGAATTCCTCCTCTCACTCTTCATCTTGATGATGTGTGGACGGACGGGGAAGAGAGCTGGAACCTCTTCTGTAGAAGAGGTTAGAACTGGCAGGAACCCACCCTTGCTTCTCGAGCAAAAAAACACCGCCCACCCCAATGGTAGAGGCAGCCTGCCTATTCCTCACCATTGTGCTCAGGGAAACGGCTGGTAAAAAACACCCCTTCTCGCGAGCACAATGGTGAGGAACGTGACTAAGCTGGAAAGGTAAAAGGTGTGCCTCCCTTCTCACCTGCCCCAGAAAATAATAATCCTTCCCCTATAATAAGCCCAAGGCCATATTTCATGGGGCAAAAGAAAATAAGACCCTGTCTTATTTTTGGGGAAACACGGTAATTTATAAAATATAAAAATGCACACAAACAAAATAAATCAATAGGTAGCCCTTGATTTACAACCATTCATTTAGAAATTACACTACCACTGAAAAACATTGCAGCCTCCCTATGTTTACATGTTCAAAATTTAAATACTTGGCAACATATTTATGACAGTTGCAGTGTCCAAGATCATGTGATGACCTTATTTTTACCTTCTAACAAACTCAATGGGGAAGCCAGATCCACTTAACAACCATGTTATTCACTTAATAACTGCAGTGTTTCCCTCAACTGGAGCAAGAATGTGCTAAAATGGGGCAAAACTCATTTAACAACTCTCTCACTTAGCCACATAAATTTTGGGCTCAATCCTGGCTGTAAATTGAGGATTACCTATAATATATCAAGCAAATACATAAAGCAAATATTAATTGGCTGAATACAAAATGAAAAATATCTGACATATTTCATATATCAGATACCAAATATAAGCAATATTCACATTCAGACAATCAATTCTAGTTTTTCTTTCTGTGATTAACCAATTTTGTTGTATATTTTGTACAATGACAATAAAGGCTATACTATTATATTAAAAATGTTGTATATAGATAAAAAGTTGGTATATTCACCTGATTTTCTTGCCTTCATAGCCAGAACAGTTGCCAGTTCTCTCTGCATCTAGCACATCAAAAAAAATTGTGTTATAAATATGCTGATGGAATATATATATATAAATAAATATAAATGGAATGTGTGTGTGTGTGTGTGTGTGTGTGTGTTGTGTTTATGCTGATAAATAAATAAAGGGACTTTATTGTGACTTTAAATATATATAGTATGTATGTATGTATGTATGTATGTATACATACATACATACATACATACATACATACATACATACATACACACACTATTGTTTCCAATGGAACTGCCACATAAATTGTCTGCTGCCTATACAAGGAACAGTAATGCAAACAGACGGAATTTGCTTTTTCAAGAATCCTGAATTTAAGACTAGAATGGAGTTCAGATTCAAACCTAATAATATTTATTGAGATGGATGTTCCACTGAATGCAATAAAGATGAACTATAGCATTAATTACATGTTATAGGTATTAGCTTCATGAAAAAAGTATTTTAACTTCAGAAAGGTTATGACCAAGCTATAAATAAAAAAAATGGGTAATATGTGGGGGAAATATATAATTTTCATCATATTTGGCACATGAGAGTTCCCTGATTTCATCAAATATCTTCCCAGAAATTACTTATCAACAAACTCGATCAAGCCAGCTGCCAGGATAAATAGAAAAGAATCTCCAATATAAATCTCAAAATAAGCAACTCACATTGGCCCAATTTATGAAGAAATTTGAAAGATTAGAGTAAGCTACAGCATTATAATATTAGTATGTATGTATGTATGTATGTATGTATGTATGTATGTATGTATGTATGTATGTATGTATAATATATCCTTTTAGCAGTTTACTGACCTAACATCATTCATTGCCTTTCATTGTCCATTCATTACAACATTTACATATTATTTTAACTAACTGAAATAAACTATCTTTGACCAAAAGTGCACCTTTGCCCCTATTTCCTGCACTTGAACTAACTTGGCATTATTCAACACAGCTGTTCTCATTCAACAGTTCCTCGCCCTTCTATTGTTTGGAGAGAACATGCATTTCCTTTATTTACAGGTTTCAATCTGACTCATCAAGAAATAAGTACTTAGGGAAAAAAGGACTTTTAAATGTACATAACCAAAAGTAGACCCTGAATTAGAGAAAGAAAGAAGTTGAAGTTGAAAAGTCACATCACTCACACAGGCATATTAGTTATACATAAACCTTCTACTTTATGTAGCTACAATTAATTCAATTAATATTTTATATTTAGATTATTATTGGTTAACAGTGCTTAACTTAGCAAAATGACTACTTAGCAAATAGACTGGGCCTTTGGTAAGCCCAGTCTATAGATTCCATATAGCAGTAGTCTAAACAAATAAATGCATTTTTTTACTTTATTTGTATATTACCCGTTCCCTGAAGACTCTGGAGAGCTTTATATTTAGCTCCAAACAAAATCCATCCACAAAAACAATAATAAATTCTATCATGAAATAAACTAAAAACAGTATTCAAAAAAAAGGTGTACAAAAACACAAGTCTGGCAATTTAAATGTTCAAAAATAGCATGCACTTTGGATCGAATAATAATGCCTTAACTGCTTTTCTGAACTCTGAAAGAAGAGCACTCTAAAAGAAGGCAAGGGGAAGAGTATGGGGATAGCCATACACTCTGCAATTTCAATTTGATGAATTTCTCAGTTAACGAAGGATCTATGAGAAGAGAGTTACTGCAATCTGGTCAAACACCTTAGTTGTCCCTTTAACTAATGTTCATGGTCTCAATCAAACTGCCTATCAGAATCTCAGTTCCTAAGTACCTTCTGAAAAACCAATAATTCTTTAAGGATCTGGGACAGACTGATCTAACAGGTCCTTCTTCACAGCAGAGAGAGTTGTACATTAAACTCGGCAGCCATTAGTGTGTGAACTATCCATGATAATGACCCAAATGCAAAGTTTAGAAGATCGAGGGTTGAAGGGAAGACGCGAGAGCCAGGACTTCAAACACGAACAAGGTTTATTCTTAACAGCAGTGACAGCGATTCAAATGTAACAATTCCGCGCCAAGGTATTTATACTCGGTAGTTCAAACAGGGGAACCAATGGGAGGCCTGGTAGCGTCTAGCAACTGCTGACGCAGTACCTTGGCCAATCAGGTTAGCTCGGCTGGCTAGCAACAGGCTATGCTGCGCCTCAGCCAATCAGGGCACAGCCTAGACTGTTGCTGGCCTCCCGGTCGTAAGTGGAGGATTTTCTTAATCCTCAACACTATCCATGATAATGACCCAAATGCAATGCCCCTCTGCATCAGGTCCATAGTTAACTGGCCCACTCCAGATTCCTCACCAGGGAAGCCTGGTTAACATGTCCTAACATTCCCAGTCTGGCAAACAAGATCATCATCTCAACAATTAGGTTAAACAGCCTTGACAGAGACATACGGATGACTAAAACTTCCCCTCTACTTCCCCTTAGTTAATGCTAAACCTTAAATCCCAGGAGCAGACTTCCTAGAAACACTGGCCCCTCCTCCAAGTTTTTGAAATAAAAATCAGAGTTAGCCTCCTAACCACAATTAAACTGTGGGTGGGCTTTGTTTTTTTTCACAGACAAACCTGGCATTCAATAACGATGTAATAAAAAAGTCAGCAGAGTTAGAGGGCAAAATTAAGTATGTCATCAGCTTAAAAGTCTAAGTCCAACTTTTCCTGAATTCTGTTGACCCTTATCTAGCGCCAGTTTAGCACTGACCTTTAGTTAACTAGATTCTTGTGTATAGACTTGAATAAGTTTTCTGTGCCACTACTTAACAAGTGATTCTGATCCTTTGCAATTTACAAGCCAGAACCCCTGGTTCTTGTGAAGAAAACTAAGAACCTGCGGGTGGGGATTAGTAAGACTTATGAAACCCTCCTTCTCCAAGGGTGGCCTGGTCTCAGAGTTCCATTTTAGCTTTTAGTGCCAACTATAATCTAATTTTACTCATTTTTCATTTCACAAAAGCCCTCCTGGACTGCATCACCCACTACAGCCCAAAAACCTCTGCAGTCTAGTACCAGGGCCAAATCAGTCAAAATATTTCCATAATTTGAAGTCCCTCAATCAGCCCTCTAACCCCACTTCCAACTACTCCCACATGCTACTCTTATTCAAAATTCAAATAACAGTGGGAATCCTAATGTCATCCAGGTATAGCTCTCTGACTCCAAACCAAACTCCAATCCTAAAGATGGCCTTTTGAAATTTTTAGTGAGAAGACATAACAATTAAAGTCAATGGAATCCAAAGTCTTTGTTGTCAGTAACTGCACTCTTATGAATCATGTCAATGTTTATATATAACCTGAATGTCACAGAGTTTTCCTAGAGTGGAGACCAACTGAAGAAAGCAACCAGCATCTCAGACTTTCTATAATCAAGGTAAAGCCTTATTTGGAATACTGTCTGTCTCTATTGACTATCTATGGATGCACATAAGTCAGGAAGGGGAAAAAGAGAGATAAAATGGCAGCCACCAGTCCAATGCCATTAGCCTCAGAAAATACTTCATGGCCCAAGTGGTGCTCCGAATCCAGGCCATAGCACTACACTGCTTTCAAAAGATCATTAATGACTTCAGCTGATCGGCTCCCTCTTTACATCTCACAATTTATTTCCAATATCTTGTAGCTGGTAAAAGTCTTGTCTCACAATGTGCCTTAACAATTTAGCTTTTTTCCTTCTGTTTCCATGTACCTGATGCCTTGGATGTGTAATAGGATAGTAAAATCACCCTGAGAAGTATCAAGGAACAGCCCATCATGGTTGCCATTTTTATTATTAATCAATTTACTATTTAATCATCTTCTAAACATTTAGATTTTATTATTATGGGGCGTTGCTTTATTGACTATAAAGATCAACTAGAGACTACTATTCCTAACATGCCATGAAAGACTACCATATGGTTCTTCAGATTTTGTTAAACTTCAATTTAAATCTGCTCTTAAAATAGCAATAGCACTTAAGACTTATATGCCATGCTTTACAGTGCATTACAACCCTCTCTAAGTGCTTTACAGAGTCCGCATATTTTCCATAACAATCTGGGTCCTCGTTTACCAACCTCAGAAGGATGGAAGGCTAAGTCAGTCTTGAGTCTGGTGAGATTCAAACTGCCAACTTGCAGGCAGTCGGCAGTCAGCAGAAGTACCTGCAGTACTGCATTCTAATCCCTGCACCACCACAGCTCTTAATCATAGCAAAATGTGAGGAAATATGGAACTTGAAACCCAACAATACCTGAGGACCATTTTATCAGTTTCTGATTTATAAATTAGTATGCTGTGTGTAGAAGCAGTTAAGAAAAATACGTGTCAGGGCAATATTTCTTCCTCTTTCCTAACATTCCTTCTCAGACTGATATGAAAGCAGTTTCCTAATTTTATTGAAGGTACTGATTGGAGTAATGCAATGATTTTGTAATGTAATGTAATGCAATGTTTTTCAGACACAGCAACTTTAAAATGTGTATACTTCTATTCCCATAATTCCACACCCAGGATTCTGACTGAAAAAAATTGGAATCTGAATCCACATATCTTAAAGTTGCCAAGTTTATAAAACACTGACCAAGATTGCATGATCAGTTCTGCAGTATTTAATTTTTCTGCCTAATTCTGGCATAAATATCCATGACAGGAATAAGAAATGAGCAGTTCTCAATATTTTTGAACCTAGATGCCTCCAGATCTCTGATAAGTGCTAATCATATTGCCTATTTTGCTGCTACCTATTCAAAACATAAAGGTTTCTTTTGTGTAATTAATAAATAATTTATTCTTTAGTTTTATAATGCAATTAGAGTTTATTCCCTTCCCTTTCATGAAAAAAAATCATCCTCAATTGGTTCAATTTTGTTTTAAAATATTTATATCTAGCTTTCCCTTCAATATTAGGACTAAATATACATTTAACAAAGGCAGCATTAAAGTTTTAGTTTTTAAAAAATGAAAGGGTGGCAAGATAAGCATTAATGGGCAAAGTTGGCAGGACTATCTTTTTAATTAAAATTACAAAATAAAGTGTTTCTCTGATGCATTAAGGGAAAAAGTCTGCAAAACTTCATTCTGTTAACGACACATTACTGGCAGCTCTAGCAATAAAAATAAACAATTCAGTCTACATGCTAAGCAAAAAAAACAGTGTATTTCAAAGCTATCTAAAATCAAAGAGATCATTATAACCATATTTAAAAATAAACACTACAATGTCCATCAACACCAGCATGACTGATCAATTATCAGGGATGAAGGACACCATAATCCAAAAGAGCTGGAAGACATGAGAGTGAAAGCTATTTTATTAATGAAAGTTAAGCACATTCTCTTGTGCACATGGCTTCTAATGCTGCCACTTGACAAACAGGAAAAAAACTATATGTTTTAAACCTTTTTTTAAGTATAACATTTTTACGAGATACATAGCTCAGGATATTTCTTTACATTTTCTGCTGGGGTTTTGCTTATATAAGTACTCAATTGTTAAATGGGGTTTGCATGGAACAAGAGCTGAATTATTAAACCTTGATTTCAGTTGAAATTAAACAAAAGGTACAGCAGAAATACTGGCCCACGGTGGTCATTTTCAGATGTCTTGGTCTAATTCTTGGTATTAATGTTTATTTTCATGTGGATAGGAGTCTAAATTAATAGTTTAATATCTGGTCTTCCTGCACTCTCTTCTGCAGAGAGCTGAATAATGTCCTGCCAAATGAAGATATTCTGGGAGCTTGGGATCTTAAAGTCAGAATGAGCAAAGATGTTCCAGGCTAATGCAGACCAGTTGTACATGCCCAGTTCCTCTTTAACTGGCTTGAATTCAGTCGGAATTCAGTCGGCAATGCCTTAAGTACTCTAAGCAAGCAACATGTATTTTATATTCTATTATTCAAACATATCTCCCAACTTCAGTAATAATATCTCTTACTGTCGAAAGATTTTTAATACTCTTGCTTCTCATTTTAGCTACATTTACTCTGAGTTTCTTGATTTTAATAACTAGCACTGTCCTACAAGTAATATTAATTACTATTGCTGTTTCCTTTTCCACTGCTAATCAGTAGTGGAGGATTTACAGTCCAGATAAAAATACAAGAAATGCATTGTTTAAATAACTAATTAAAATCATCCCACAAATTAATCTTTAAGAAAGGCTTACTGCTGCTGTAAGACGAGCAAGAATTTCTGCATTGCTTTCAGCTGTTTCTTCTATTCTTCTGTTATCCCTTTTGAAACAAAAAGCAAATAAAAGCTCATAGTATATTTGAGGTGTAAGGTTGGTCTGAATTCCCTGAAGACATAGGAAAACAGAGAATTAGACTGCTATGACTAAGACATAATGCTTAGGTTTGCCAATGTAATAACTCTGCTATACAAATTGCACTGGCTCTCATTTTCCTTCCAGATACAATGCAGGGTTCTGGTTATCATCTTTAAAACCCAACACAGGGTCAGGTTATCTGCATGAATGCTTTTTCCTAAAGACATTTACCCATTCTACCAGATCAGATAGGTGGGCACGCTCCTAATCCTTTCTCTTAAACATTACCATATTATGAAACTAGGAAATGTGCCTTTTTCATAGCAGTCCCTGCCCTGTATAATAACCTTCCTTTTGAAGTTTGACAGGCCTTTACCCTCCTAGTCTTCCAAAAAGCTCTTTTCCCATATGTGCTGGAAAGATATGTGGTCAATGAGAAGACTTTATGAGGAACTGTATGTTGAAAGTTAGCTTTAATACTAGAGGTTTTTTATTAATGTATATGGTTTTAATATATTTATATATTATATTATTTTGTTATTGGTGTTTTAACTGCTGATTGGGAACCGGGAAGATTTTGATACAAGATGGATGGCTCTATAAATCTTGTAACTAAATAATATAAATGATTAAAATGTTCCTCACACCAGTACAACTAAATGCCCTTATTTTTATCAAATATGTTTATATTAAGAAAATATAATGTTGTAGGTTTGTTATTACGTTTCCTGGAATGGCATAACTGAACAGCAACTTTAATTTAAGAATGGCACCCCAAGGAAATAAACTCTTCAGTTTAATTTCAAGGAAGAAGAATTAAAGTTATAAACCTCAATTATTAACTTCTGATCAACAGCTGGAATCAAGAAAGCCACTGACTTTGCCTCCAGCGAGTACATGACATAAAATACAGGAACCCAACAGATTATTGTATCTTATGTTTTAATCTCAGTTTGTCCAATCAGTAAATTTCTTATGAGATTTCTTTTAAATCTCATGTTCCGCTGTACTTTCTCTATTTGTCATTACCTGCTGATTATTTTAACAGTCCTGCTTTTTAATTTGTCATTATTTTAAAGTAGCATGATGTGATAAAGCTCATATATTGTCCTAATCTTGATTCTTTAATCAATATTATTAAATAACCACGAAAATACAGATTTATATTATGGTAGTGGTAGTTGAGGTCACAAGTTAAATTAAGCCAAAACTAAACAGCCTCGATTATGACATTAATGCTATCTTTATAATTTTGTACTAGGTTTGATGTCTTTTGCCCATCACTTAATGCAAAACTAATTTCTAATTGAGACCGAGATAGTAACCTTTTAGTTTAACTAAAATTGCTTTAAAATGAGGAAAAATATAACATGCATGCTTGTTAGATACTATGGTATACTTGATTACGAAGATACATAAGTAGCACCAGGCTTTATAAAATGTAGAAAGCAGAAAATAAAATGATAGGGTTTATTCTTATTCACAAGCAAATATCCTGTTCATATATAATGTTACGTGTTAAGTTTATACCTAATGTTTATATCTTGATTCCTATATAAAGCTAAATCATAAGAAAAGAAATACTCTTTTTTAACATAATGGGTAAGATTTATTTTTATAAATGTAAATACAGTATATAGTCATTTTTATAATGGTACTTACGGTATATTGATATTTATATATAATATTTCACATTGATTTAAGTTTTTTAAAAAAACAATTACTTGCAATATTTTTAAATTTTATTAAATTATTTGAAAAGGTAAATCATAAGAAATGGACTCATAACAGGCTGTAAAATTCAAAACATATGATATATATGTGAAGCAAATCAGTCAGTAATGAATAGAAATATACTTACAGCTTACACATATTCATCCTTGGAGAAGTAACAGGCACCATCTTCAGTAGAAATTTCACACCGTTTTTCCATCCTTTTTCTCCTTCATATTCACAGAATAGGTATGTGCATTCATCAGATGAGAACTGGTAGAAAACATACCTGTCTAGAAAATATATCTGCTTATCCACTGTTTAAAGAAAAGAGGGAAAATGATTATATATCTATATCAATAAGTAATTATATGGTTCTTTCCTGATTATCGCAAGTCAAATATATACATGCAAGTTTAGTCTAAAATTCATCAAGTGGAAAGATCTGGCAATTTGTGTATAAACTTGAAAACTATCCAGAGTTAGGGGACTATTTGTATGACGGAACTCCCTCCCCAAGAATTCCAGTCCTATAGACTATTCAGAAAATGGCATAAACCAAAAGGAAACAAAACTTCCAAACTACTGCAAGACAAATAACATGAGTGTGTTTACATCATGTTTTTAACCACAATAACCTCCAGCATGCTGGCTAAGGCTCAGAAACCAACTGGCGTATGTAGTCAATTTGAAGAAGATTACAAAGACCAATATACATATGCCAACCAATTATTTCTTCACAAGTTTTTGTGTAGGTAGAAGACCAGTGAAGCTTTCCCCAAATAGCATTTTATTACTTATCAACTACCAGTGAGTTATGCCTCTTTAAAAAAAATCATTTTCTAAAAAACTCTTTCATGATAAGCCACCTATGAAGACTATCTGTTCATTATAAGATGTTAGGAATATTATAAAGCACTCTGTTCAGCAAACAAAGCCATGTTAACTAAGAAACTATTCTAACTGTATACACTCAAATGAAATGGTTCCATTTTGTATTGTAGAACTTCTTCACTGAGAGGAAAAAATAAACTGCATGCATATTCTGAGCATACAGCTTACAATAGGATTGTAACAAACTGTTACTGAAAGGTAGCTCTACTTTAGCGTGGCTTGAACAAAACAAAACAAAACTCAGCCAACAAATATGCTGATGGATGAATCTGAATTAATTATATTTCTATTCAAGCCCCATGTTGCAAAAACTTCTCATGTTAGTGAAGAAAAAAATATCTTAAGTGTTTTTCAAGATTCATGCTGAACTTTCAATAAAGATTCAAAGCATGAAACATTGCATTAAGCAAGTCATACTGAAGAAAAGATAAATACCATAACAAGTATCAGTGTAAAAATATAGAGAGGAGAGATGAACAAGAGGTTCAGTTATAAATAAAGAAGGTGGATGGAGAGGCCAGACTTAGATGTGGATGGGTCCAAGATAAATATGGTAACACATGAAAAAAGGTGAACACAGATATATATCAAAGCTATATATTTGTTAATGTGTGTGGACTTGCCTACCACCTTTGAATACAAGAAGTCAGCTGTTTTCCCCAAAGGGCCTTATTATCAAAAGATATCATTAAAAATGATTGAAAAGGAGGAAGAGGTAAATAATAGGAAGAGGAATGCATATTGTCAAAAAAATATTTACAAATACCGTAAGCATACAGTGAAACTGCTATCCAGATTTTAGAAATTTAGTGGAAATAATGTCTAGAAAAAGATGATAAAAATAACCAGGGTGATATATTTTATGAAAATTGGCATGTACTTTCATGGGCATTAATATCTAGCAAACATATCATTGTAATTATCCAGAATGTGAAAGATACAAATGTATGATAAAGGGAGACTATATTCAAAATAACGCCCCATTTTTTTTATTTTTGTATATATTGTAAATATAATGCTCCAATAAAGAGGAAAACAAGAGAAATTACTGCTTTGCACAACAGATTTTACTTGCTACTGTAAAACTGACCTGTTAACACAATTCCCATATTCAGTAGTAGCTGCCAGATACTAGCTGCTGTAGATCTGCTGTTAATGAAAGTACAGCACTTCAAAAGCCAGTCTACCAGTTCAGATCCAACGCAACTTTGTCTAACAAAACAAAGACCAAAGTTATAATCCTGAAGCGTTTACAATAAAATATGTTCAGGCTGATGTCAGGCTTACATTTTAATAAACATACAATGTACTTTATCACGATGAAAGATCCTTACCTAAACTGAAATCCAGCATATATTTAATGAATCCAGGTGACACAAATGATGAGCATGCTTTTATATCTAATTTTGCAGCTTAGTATAATTGCGTTCACTCCAAAGATTGGTTACATGACAACATCTGCCATGGAGTTTACATATTCAGAAGAAGTAGTTACCAAAACAACCACTTGAATCTGTGTGGCTGCTGTGAGTCACTTCTACTAGAATAGCTGTTGAATTAAACTCTATCTAGAAAATGCTGAGAGCCTTGATGTGTTGAATTTTCCAGGAGCAAATCCAACACTAAACTTTTTGCAGAGGCCTAATACTACAGTACACCAGCTGTACCTATTGTTCTCCATACAAAGACCCAAAAAGAGATGGCTGTTGAGATTAACTTAGTTCATATATGTACATCATAAATCCTTTAGCCTTAATTCTTCCTTTTGCTTTGTTTTTCATAATTTATACAACCTGATAAGGGACCTTCGGGTATTCTAATCCAGCTGGATAGTTAAAAGTGCCACAAGAAAAAAAATCTGTCTAATTTGGGGATTTTCAAACTGTAGATCAGGGCTGTCAAACTTGATCGTGTCATGGGCTGTTTTGTGATGTATTACAATGACTTTTTTCCTTTGCTGAGCTGGGGTGGGCATGGCTTCCGCAGGATCTATCCAGCCTGTGGGCCACCAGTTTGACAGCCTATTATAGATCATGACTCAAAGCTTGAAGCAAAGTCTGACACAGCTTTAGCTCTGCCTCCAGAAGTCTCATGTATTATTCCCTCCTTCCTACATTGTCCACAATGTCTACTAGCCCAAATTCACAAGGTTCATCAGATGTTGTGTGCTGTGAACCTGGAATCACTAAATATGATTCCATACAAATATCAGTTCCCTTCTAGTTATTTCTCATTGCCTTTTGTGCTTGCAGTTATAGGGGGGAAGAATGTGAAGGAACAAGATTTCCACATGATCCCAGGCAGCAAATATGCTTGGCAACAGAATTGAAAGTGCTTGCCTCAAACAGGGACACCTGCTGCATGAAAATTGGAAGAGGAAGGGTGTATGTGATACATTGGCCCAGTGGTGAACAATTTACTCTGAGCGATTGGTTTCCTTGATATAGCACTCAAATGAAAGATGAGATGAATCTACCTAGTGCAAATATGCTTTTGCTGATTGGTCACCTACTTATTTGATCAACAAAACTGGTTTGTTCTCTTTTCTATGCATATACACTGCACATACACACCAGACACTAACTCACAATCAAACACTATGCTATATTACAGCAACAAAATCCAGATAAAAATCACTAAATGGTAGCAAGATATTAGACTTTTGAATCTCTTTCTAGTGATTGCACACACTTCCATAGCCCAGATCCAATTCTAATTCAGCTATTTAGCACCATTCAGTCTCAGTAATCAGGCAGATATGTTACGAAGAAACCTGCTAGTGTTTACTGTTGTCACAGAAACCCTGGTTGACTGCAATCCCAATGTATCTCCTCCCCATCTTTAATGCATCTTAGTGTGAGCATTTCAAGGAAGGGCCTTAACTATAAAACCACTCAGCTTTGTGGGAGGCTAATAGTATATCTTTTTAAGCATTTGAGTGGTTCCTAGGTTGTTGGAAAATACTAATACCAACAAATATCCTCAAAAGACCAATTAAAGTACTATTTGGTAATGATTATTTGAGACACAACAGGTGTATACATTACTTGGACCACTGTCAGAACTTGTTCTTATTCTGCCTGGACACATATGGAAAGTTCTGGCAAGATTCTGCTTTTGCCTGTGCAAACCTCATGGCTTTGAAACTCACATTTGAATCCAAAATGCAGGAATGCAGGAACTACCAAAATTAGGAAGGGAGGTTAGATAGACAAGCTACCCTATAGCTTGTCTATTTAACCTAAGACTTAAGGGAGTTCTGGCAAGGCTTCGACTTTGGGTTCATAAGCATTGTATGAAACACAAAACTGGAACACTGCCAGAATTTGTTCTCACAAGCCAGCAAAGTCAGAATTTTCTACAGTTATTGGAATAAACTGCTAATGTTGATCCAATAAAAATGTATAGTCAAAATGAGACTGACCCTTTCAAAAATAAAACCCAAATTTCAAAATTATACAAAACTGATCTGGTTTATAATTCTCATTGAAAATATGTTTCTAAATCTATATTTACCACCCCCAGAATCCAAAAAAAGTATTCATAGCACACTTCTTACAGCAGTTTTGGTAGGCCAGTACCCCAAAAATACCATAGAAGCTGAGATTGGGCTCCTGTGGTCATTGAAACTGTAGATCGTGTCCTGCTATACTGTATTTTCTGTAATGACTCATGGGATCAATTTATAACACCTTATCTAATAAACTATCTGGAAAATATTTATCTTTTTATGTGCAACTACTATTATCAGCTCAATATGAAGTAATTTCTATGAATATGGCCAAATTCTGTTGTGCTGTATGTAAAATTAGGCAAGCTTTAATGCCTCACTGTTAATGCACCACAAATTGCAACGTTTTGTTCTGTTTTGTATTTACACAGCACAATAGGAATGCTCTGGATTAAAAAGTATCAACTTGGAAAGAAATCAGCCAATGGTGGTCATGGTGATGCATGGTGACCAATTCAGATCCAATGCAAGTGAATGAACGAGCAAGCACAAGATGATATGTAGTTAAAATAAGAAATATATTGTTACCTGCAAAGCCCCATTAGAGACATTCTGTCTTTTATCAGAGTAGAAGCTTGTAACACAAAAACATTTCTGAGAGCTCTTCCAGCACACAAGGCATCCTCTCCATAAATCTAAAGAAGATAAATTGGATGGACAATAATTTTTGCGGTTTAGACAGTTATATATAGCATTAGAACTAGATATAAGCTTCAAGACACAGAAAACTAGTGCAGCACAATTTCATTAACCTTTTAAAATATGTTTTAGTTGTCAGTAATAATTACATATTAAATTTTAATTTCACACAGAAATTATGTGCTCAAAAATAAAGAGCTGTTAATGCTTCTGCATTTAAATATAAAATAGCTCAAAACAATGAAGCAATGTGACTAGTAATAATAATAACAATAATAATAACAACAACAATAAATAATAAACAACATCTTGCCAGTAGAGCAAAAACTAAGGTGACCAGACGTCCCGCTTTTGGCGGGACACACCCGCCTTCCAATGCATTTTCCCGCGTCCCGCCCGCCTTTTTAAAAAGCACGCTTTTTTGGCGCTCGCA